CATGGTGTGTGCTTGCTTGTGTATGTGGAAAGCTATGTATTCTAGTGAAAATACTGGTGTTGGTGGGTGAAGAAATAAGCAACACAGGGAAAAAGAGAAGCATGTAAGAATAAATCCAATAAAGGAAATGGAAAAGCTGAGAGGTTAGAAGCAAAAAAAGACTATTGTTTGTACTGTTATTTTATTTGTAAATAATGGAACTCATCAATTTATCAAAATAAAAAAATCTCCTGATTAAAAATTGTATAATTATCCTTTTGATCCAGTTCAGACCTGACATGCTTCATTTTAGCACTGGCTTTTTTTTTTAACATTTTTTATTGATTTATAATCATTTTACAATGTTGTGTCAAATTCCAGTGTTCAGCACAATTTTTCAGTCATTCATGGTAGCACTGGCTTTTAATGTGAGAATGACCTCCAAGGATATTTACATTTGACTTTTACTAATGCAGAGCAAGATGAATGAATGATGAGTGATAGGTAAAGATGGATCACAGTCTCTCCTAACGAAATGAATTGAAAAAGAAGGAAAATAGAAATAAAATAAAATCATAAAAGAAACCAAAGAAAGGGGTACAAGTTCAAATAATAAACTTTGACAAGGGACAACCAAAGGGATAAACATAAGACTCATGGAGGTGTAGCTGGGGGCTACTGCTGTCCACTCCCCACCCTCCACCCCCATCGTCCCCGCCCAATATGCATACAAACTCGTAATACGAAAAGGAGAATCATCTAAAGTGCTGACAAGTCTCACCAATACCACACCAATTTGGAGAAAAGTGGGTGAAGGGGAAGGAGAAATCATTTAAAATATTTTTAAGCCTTAAATATCTACTATAAGATTGTAGCAGAGGCAAAAAAATTGCAAACCCAAGGACACCCCCCAGGGACAGAACACACTTGAAATCAGGTCCGATGAAGTTTGGCGTTAATAAAATCCAGAAAAAGACAAGAGAACCCAGATCCTCCCACAGAGAAGGCTGAGCTCCCCAGTCCTTCATCCGTCCTCCCTGTGCCTTTGAGCCAGAGGATACAGAAGAGTGCAGGAGCCGACCCACAGACAGAGGGGGGTGCATCTCAGCACGGGTGCAGAGCATTTCAGGGAGAACGCAGTCTCGCTGTATCAGAAGAGACAGAGGATATGAGCAGAGCCACCCACAACACATGTGAGCGAGTAAGATACAAATAAATGACAGCAGCTAGTTATATGCGAACAACTGGAGCCCAAGTATCCACAGCACACAGAGAATGAGTAAATGAAGGACCAATCTGCTAGACAGCAGGTCAAGATCACAGGAAAATTCCCCCATAAGTCCTCTGGCTACAAAAGAAATAATGAAAATGACATTTTTAAAAAGAATAAAACTAATCTCAGAGATCAAACAACAACATGTCAGACTTCAAAAAGGAAAAAAACAATTAAATGGCCATCTGTTCCTGAATTGGATCTTGTACCAGAAAACACCACCAAAAAAAACTAGGCTATAATTAACATCATTGAGACAATTTTAAAAAATTAGATATGCACTGTGGATTAGGGAATTACAATGTATTCATGTTAAATTTGCTGATTTTGATCATTGTACTGTGGTTATATAAGAGAATGTTATTTGTGGGAAATACGCACTGAAGTATTTTTTTTAGTAGAAGGTCATGATGTTTATAACTTCCTCTCACGTGGTTCAGAAAAAAGAGCTGCATTTGTGTCTGTGTGTGTGTGTACGTATATGCAAATGGGACAAAAGATAAACAGGTAGTGAACTGGGTAAAGTGTATATGGGAGTTCCTTGTACTATTCTTGCAGTCTTGAAAATTTTCTGTAAGTCTGAAACGGCATCAGAGTAGCAATTACCCAAAAAGGTCAAAGCAATACCTGTAAAGAGCTAATTTATTAAGTCGATCAATAAAGAATGAACTATAACCAACCGAAAACTGAAATTCCGGCATAGAAGACAAACAAGATAATCCCAGTAATGCAAAGGAAAATAAAAACTGGCTAAAGCAGTTGAAGAAAATGTTAGTTAATCTACTGCACAAAGAAGATCCAACAAATCGAACAGAAAAGCAATCCAAAAATACAACAGCAGAAAATTTCTCTGATAATAAAGAGGGATTTATGTGCTTTGAGAAATGCTGAATTACTGACATTGAAGCACAATCCGTTACTGAATTTCAAAGATTAAGAAAAAAATTCTTCAGACATCCAGTCAGGAAAGAAGCCTGTCATATGCAAGAAAAAGGATAAAGTGAAAAATCAAAGAGACCTCAGATTACTTCAGAACAGAATTCAGACCCAGGAGACTATAAATCAGTGTGTACAGGGTTTAAGAGAAAAATGACCCAAAGAAATTACCTGCAGTCAATTTGCCATTCAAATACAAAGGTAGCCAGCATTCTCAAACATGACAGGACTCAAGTAATAGAGCTACCATGAGATCTAGCTGGGGGGCGGGGTGGGGGTGGGGGTTACTATTTGACAATTAAATTCAACCAAAGAAAAGTTAAATGGAAAAACTGCACCAAAGGACTAAGTAGCATCATATGCAGGGACAGAAGATGGTGGAGAAATGTCTAAGTGCAGAGGGGGAAAAAAAAGTGAGCCACTAAATTAATCTTTAAGCTAGCTTGCCAACAGTTTAAAGATGAAACACAGACGTTCTCAAGACTGGCACAATCAAAACTTCCAGAAATGAATCAAAATAAAAGGCTCAACACTGAGAAGTCTTAGTAGACATGCAGAACCTGGGGCCCACCTCGGCATACTGAATTACAACCTGCATTTTAACCTCTGGGGGTATCTGTATACTCATTGAAACTTGAGAAACACTGCTTCAAAAGACCTAACAGCTCGATTCTCTGACAAGTGTGTTGGGTATCATCTTTGACAAAGCTACAGAGATTAGCAACTCAGTGAGTCTGTAGAAAGGAGGAAAAAAAATTTTTTTCTGTCCACGTGAAGGTCCTTGAGCCACAACTTAACTGTGTGTTATTGAGCTAAGGGGACTATCTCTGGTGTGGTTAGGCATCCACACATTTTATAACATTTTCAGGGTGGCATTGGGAGCATAGTCAAGAAAACATACAAAAGCCGATGGTTAAAAGAGGAAAAGGGAAAAGCTTTCTTGGACTGTGATATAAAGAATCAGGTGGAAAGCAGAGTCAATATTGTCTACAATGGAAAAAAATATCATTACCTGAAAGATTTCTCAGCACATTTAATTCCTTTTCCAAACTGTCTAAGGTTTGTTGATCAGCAACGTCGTCTAAGAAAGGCTCATTGTGGTCAGTATCATCAATATGCTCAATTTCTGAAATTTCAGAAACAGCTCTGGATAGCGATGGAGCAGCTGCACTTCTTGACCGGGGATAAGAGGAAAGGCAGCTGGAACTTCTTTTCACAGAGTTGGAAAGTGGGACATTTGCTGTTGAAGGTCTCTGTGATATCTGGCCTAAAATTAAAAAACACAAAAAAAATTAATAAATGGCTCTTGAAAGTCTGAATGAGTGCTTAAAGATACCAAATGCCAGCCCCCTCAACTTAGAACAGTTAAATTCATGCAACAGAGTTTATGAGGAAATGCATTTTAGATTATTATCCATTCCAGTTTATCCCAATTTCTTAATCCCAAATTACTTTCTCTATGTCATAAAGAAAAACTTCTGGGTTAATCTTCCCTAGTTTTTTCTACATTCAGAAAAGGGCAAGCTAAATTAAATATTAACTAAAGCACATCTGTAAACCCAGTCAACTTCAGAACAATTCAACACCCCAATCTTATCACCTACTTCATAGCCAATCATTGTGCCATGTTTCTGAAATTCTAGGATAATACCACACTGTGCCTTGTGAGAGAAAATAACCCATAGGATAAATACGGTACCACTTCCTAGGGAACCGATTTTATTTGATGGCATGTAACATTCTTCTGTTAAAACAGATATGGAGACAAAATAGACCAGTATGAAAAATCTTTTTTAAAAAACACAAGTTTTAAAGAAGTTGAGAGCGTATCTCTAATTTTCTTAAATATGAGTTCACTCTCAGCTGCTTTATAGGGCACTTCAGTGGAAAAGTTTCAGAAGCACAGACCTAAGTCAGGTTATTACTCTGTTCCACTAGGGCAGTCACCACTTTGTCTTGACCTATTTCAAAGGTTGATTTAGTTGATTTCTTCTATATGTGTGTTTCTTTCATAGTAGGAAAAAAAATCCCCTCAAATCTTACACTAACAGAACATAACTATACATATTATGTCATTTGGTATCACTCACAAGATTAAAGGCCAAAGGAATATTCAAGGTACAAATTTAGAAATTCATCGTGCAAGTATAGCTTTAATATACTGAATCACTGTCCTGATTTAGATAAATATATATATATATATTAAATATAGTTTATAAGATAATCTTGAATTCCTGCAATATAAATTGGCTTTGTGTAAAATACTGAATTCTTTAAAGAAGTGCTATTGTCATTATCAAAAAAATCATGATTTGACTGAAAACATGCCATCTAATATTATGCCCATTCTATTGACTCAAAGGAAAATATAAAATTCAGACGGGTGACTATAGGCATTTGTTATGTATTAGACAGTTAATGATTACTGAGTTTGTCTTTTTTTTTAAAACTTAAAAGACCTACTTTGAAGGTAGCTAGTACCCTAAGAAGAATCTTAATGCAATATGTAATTATTTAAGCAATTAAAACTGACTAAGGTAAGTCCCAAAGGGCACCAAGTTTAATGAACATTTCAGAAATCAATTTTGAAAACAATTTTTGTTGGAATGAAATTGTGAATAAATTAAAATAAGATTCTGACCTTTTTGCATCTATGTGCAGTCAGAGACAGTTCTAAAGAAAAACAACTGACAAAGATGTGCCTGTTTTTTTTTAATTACTGTAAATATCCCTAAGACTTATTTTAATGACTAGAATTTGGAAATAGTTTCCTCTTTAACCTGTAATATGTAAGGAATCAATATTTTATTTATACCTGCCACTCTCAACAGTGAGGCAGTAGCAGCATAACAGTACAGGGCAGTGAGTGTGACAGCAGTGCAGCTGTCTAAATAGAAACTCCTAAACCTATGGAGAAAACCACACCCTTCTACCTGTATTACGTTATGTCTCAGGCAAATAAAATTTAAAGGAATTTAGAACTCGTTAAAATAAAACAAACAAATGAAACATGTTATTAGGAAGAACTGGATCTCTGCCAACACAGGTAAATACGAGGTGAGAAACATTTAACACAATGTAGATGCCCTTCAGAAAATTCAGGGGAGTACAAACGCTGGCTGAACTCTTGTAACAACAGCTGGTTGCCTCAGTACTAATTGATCCCGACTGAGAAAAAAAGTACACTGGGGGTGGGTCAGACTTATGACTAGCACACAGCAGAGTGACAGACCATCTTTCCTACTGGAAATATACTCAAACTATAATTTAAGTCCTTAAAATACAGAAAGAGAGGCTTCAATTTGGTCCTTGGTTTTACTTATTTTGTTCATTTATGTGAGTAAGTCATTTCCTCTTAACGTGTCCCAGTATAAGCTTATTTACAGTATTGCTAGGGTTAAGATTTGAGACATAGTTAAGATGGGCACTAATAAAAAATGCCACGACTAAAGGGATCATTCCATAATTTTTTTTTTAAATTTCAGTTTGTAGATTATAAACTGAAGAAACTCCTTTTGGAGTAACTTACGCCATCGCAGGCAATGTAAATAAAATTTCCACATATGCTTCCGAACTCTTAGAAAACACATTTGTTAATGTATAAATTCTCAGTAATTTACACAGTGGAGGAAGATTGCCAAAAGAGAAAACTGTTCTGCAATCTTTATTCAGGGAAAAAACATTGAGTCCTTTGATCAGAAATGTCACTGAAACTCTACGCAAGAAACGTGTTGCTCTGCTTGTGTTTCATACAATTCTAACATTTTATTTAGAACAGTAATAACAATTATTGCATTAAAGACTACTCAGTGAGTGACTCATATTTTTTATATCTTTATCTGCATTCTTATGCCCATTAATATAACCCAAAGCACTCTTTTACGCTATATCCCCAATATTTGGCTGGCCTTACAAGTAATCAGAGCACGTATTCTTGAGCTAATACCAAGGAAATTTCTTTTCTTATATTTACAGTGTAATTGTTATCAGTGTTAATCTATAATTTTCTCAGATTACAGAGACAAGAAATTGGGGTGGAGGAGCAGTAGATTTTGCAGCGAGGGGAGAATCAACAGACTTGCTGCTAAACGCACATGTATTTCATAGCTATCATGTTTTCCACTCACAAACTTAAAAATCTTATAGAAATACATCCTGGCATTAGTTCAGAATATAAGATTTCTATTAACTTGTGGCATAACCAGGAAAATTTAATTTTTATTTCGGGCTACTACCTCTGTCCAGAAAATCATCTTCCTCCACCTCCGATTGGTCTTAATAATTCTTTAAGATCTGGTTGAAATGTCACCTAGTCTTTAACAGCTTGAATATCTACACGTTTCAACGGCAAAGCAATTATTTTATCATCTCCATTCCTAAAAGACTGCACATGCAACTCCCTGTGTTACAACTGATCATGTGTACTATTATTATCTATCAGGTTCCAGTTTGTTACTCACAGTCCTTTCGTAAGATTTGTATTACATATGGTGTAATTTATGTATCTACATGTCTATACAGCAGTTTTCTCAAAGGATGATTTTTGAACTATCTACACGAGCATAATGTGGAATTGTTGATAAAATAAATGCAAATTCCTGGACCTTATCTCAGCCTTAATGAGTCAGAATCTCTAAGAGTGAGGCTGAGAAATCCACATTGCAACAGGCTTCCCAGTTGATTATACTCACACAGACATTCCAGAAGCCTCTGAACTAGACTCTTAAGTTCCCGGGCTTCAGGGAAGATGGCTTATTTTATATCACCAGTCCCTGGCCTCTAGTAGGTGCTCCTTCAAATGTTTTTTATAGTTTTTTTTTTATAATAAAGTATTGATTTTAACTGATCACTCCAAATCGATACTTGTAGGCATTTGACTACTTACCTATAAAGATTTGTTTTGGTAACAAATTTCTCATAGCATGCATGTGAATTTTTTGTCAATACACAGTGACTTAAAACAGTTCCTCTAACTGCCTCAGAAGAAAAGCAACCAGAATTTTTAAAGCTGTCCTAGACTTTGATGTGAGACTAAGTATCTAATTACAGAGCCAAAAAACATTCATCATAAATGAATGCATTTTCTACTAAAAAAAAAAAACAAAGTTTTACATCTGACAGATTCTCAACATAAATGCATATACACAGAATCTAATAGAAGCTAGCAAAGTAGTTTTAATCATAGGATTTAGGGCAAGAGAGACATGTAAACCTTACATATTTGGACAAATCATATGTAATTAAATTTCTGGCTTGAAGATGGCTTTCAGACAAAGGCAAATAGTCCCCTTTGTCAAGAGTTTCTCCTAAACAGTGAGTTCCTGAAGATCAGAGGACATGACGTATGGCCCAGGGCCCAGCATGGGGTCAACGTACTCAACACATTTGTGTTGAATTGCCTTAATTCATCAGTCACCTACTGCAACTTCGTATGGGATTCAGCACAAAGCAAGCCTACTTGAGCAGGTATTTTAGGATAACAATAATGATCTGACAATACTACTGATATTAACGATGTCACAGTTTTCTGCACACACTCACTAGGATAATATTGCAATGAACATTCAACAGTCAAACAAGCTATCCTATAGAAAATCCTGCAATTATTCTGGTTAAAGAATAGAGTTAACGAACTGAAATCAAGATCCCAGGGTCAACACACTAAGCGTTAGGTTTAGAGCAGGTGTGTCTTAACCATAGCAGCAAGTAGCAATCATATGGCTGTATTCTAGCAGAATACAAATCAGGTAGAGGAGCGTGCCAAGTCTGGTGTAAACACACTGTTTCCTGAAGGTGTAATGAAACTGAGTATGACTTTATAAGGATTGTTTAAAATATATGCCATATCCTGAGCTACATTTTAAAAATATTGTTCTCTAACACATTGTTAGAGAAAATAACTCAGACTGTAATTCATGTTTTTGAGAAGAATAATGACTACTCTTGTTTTTTGCTTTTGGAAGAAAAGTCCCGGACAGTTTAAATGAGTAAGTTTAAATTATGTAACAGCAAAAAATAATTGTCAGGTGCCTAGTAAACTGCTGAGAGACAAACTAATAGACAAGGGGAGCCCACAATATGCCACTGCAGCCTAATAGCCAATCTTACCCATCCTCTGCTGTGCTCCACTTGGCGCCAGGTTCCAGGCACTCCTCGGAACACCCAAGGCAACTTCATCGTCAGCATGTGCACTTATGCTATAGTCTGGGATCCATTCTCTGTCTCCTGAGATGGAAAAAATAGCAAAATAATATAAAGTTTAAAAAGAGAAGAAATCCATATTGTTGCTTTATTATATATATTGTCTTACTGGATAATATTTAGTTAAAATAAAAAACATTTATAACGGTGAGGTATATATTAGGAAAGCGAGAATCTCATACAAAAATCTCATAATTATGCAAAATCTCATAACTTAAAAAAAGGGAAAAAATTCTAAATTGCAAAGATACTGCGCACACACACAAGCTTCAATAGAAACAAACATTTTTAAAAGTATATAGCAATATAACAAAATATAATGGTTTGAATGTGGATAAATACATTTGAATACATAGGAAATCTAAGAATATAGGGGCTGCCAAGACCTGGCTTTAAAAAGAAATTATGGCTAGTCTCAGAAATCTCACAGTTCCTAAGATTTTAAGATTCTCTTTCAAGATGGTATTTAAGGATTAGCATATAAATGTGCTGATTAAGTGATTTGAAGATTAAATTTTTATTAATTTATTAAGGACCACACTTTTAAAATCTAGGAATAATCTCTCAGTCTCATTATAGCCATGTTTTCTGTTAGTAGCTTTAAATATAAACATATGTCAACTCACACAGGGTTAACAATTTCGACTAGAAGAGAATGATTTTATTTGTTGAACAGAATTGCCCAGTATTTCCTAAGATGTTGACAGACTGTTTAAAAAAAGGGGTCAGAAAATTGTTAGCTTGGTCTACAGGCCATCGGATTTCATGTCTGAATTTACCTGCAACAGAAATCCTAGTACTGGAGTAGCTGCATTCTAAGCTTTGAGAAGGAGGTAAGTTGAGTCTTTCACTTCTATCAAAAACAAAGAATTTTTCAAGTCCTTGATATTGCTCAGTTATAGGCTTATTTCTGAGGGCTATTTCTTGTAACAACTAGAAAACAAAATATTCAACAAAATTGAATTTATTTTATCTCATCAATACAAAGCAGCACATTCATTCATTGAGCACCTACTATGTTCTTGGCATGGATTCAGCCCACATCAAGTTTAGACTCCAGTTGTGGAGACATAAACAATAACACAACATTTATATAGAGTAAGTTCTGAAAAATATGTAAACCACAATTATAGTAGTTATCTGAAATTTGACATCAAATCTAAGGAGGACAGAAATTCTTGAAGCAAATGAAAGTTTTCTTTCTCCTTTCTTATTTTCTTCCCTCCATGTCTTTGCACATAAATTACTCTGGAAAATGGAGTGTCTCTCATATGCTGTGTTTCTGAACTAGTGTTTTTGTCTATCCATAAAATCAATTCAGAGATGGAAAATCAGTACGATGGAAACAAATCTGATCTGATGGTGCTCATAGAGAAAACTCATGTTAACAAACTACTCATCGTAAAGAAAATAAACAAGTAGGAAACTGAGTTAAGAGTGAGCCAAGTGAAGCTTATATATAGCTAGAAACTAGCAGATCTAAATTTTGAATATAGATATGGCTCATTTGAAGTCTCAGCTTATTCCACCGCCCTATGAATTCACATTTTGATCTGTTTTCATCTTAGGGAAGAATATAAATGGGATTAAAAAATACATGAGTCTAGTCAGAAATAGATTGGAGATTCAGCAGTGAGAACTCTAATGGGCTTCAAATATAATCAGGGTGGCTCTCAGGATTTAGCTGCTCCCTAATGGAGCTAATTAATGCCCAGATGAAGCCTGTTTTAAGAGGGAAATCAACTCAAAGAAAATTGTTATAATTCTGTTCAAATTTATAAATCATGTAAATGATAAGTATTACAAAACCAAGCAAGTGCCCAAGAAAGCACTTCCTTCAAAGACAAGTCCAAGTCCACTCTACTCAGGACACCGTCACTGGCTCTCTCAGACACTGACTGTCAATTCACAGGACACCTTCAGCTTCAGTGGGGATCATATTTGGATCAGACAATTGAAAAAATGGAAGGGTGTTTTAAAGCGTAGGTTGACAGAGAAGAACAATGAGAGTGAATTTGTTTGTTTGTTTTTTCCCTAAACTCACAAAGTTAAACTTGGTAGTTTCAGAACCAAAGCCAAGAGCCCCTGACTAGTTCATGTGCTTCCCAGCACGTAACCCTACCTCATTGCTGCTGCTCTACAACTTAGCGCTCAGTTCAATCGGGGGCTCCAGCTTTAGGAAGGACTCAGTTTCTGGAAACTGAAGTAGAAAATGAACCTATACTCCATTTGGAAGTCAGGTAATACCACTGCTAAAAAATGCCTCTACTGCCTGTCCGCTCTTGAATTTTCTACTGGAGAACAATAGACTTCTAAGTAGTTTTTGCTCAGAGAATGGCCTCTACTAGGGCAGGAGAACAGCAGAAGTTCATGTCCAGTAATTAGGGATGAAAAGAAAGTAGATTTTAACACTAAGTGTAAAGCACTGTGTTCTATGATATAATCATTTACCTTTTTTTTTTTAAACAATAGTATAAGGGATCAAAATGATTAGTAGTTTTTTTTAACATTCCCATTTTAATTATGAAATACTTTAAATATGTAGACATGTGCAATGCATAATATAATTACCACACAATATCAGTAATTTTAAAGAACTGCTTCAGATATCTATATGAGGAATAGAACTAGTTGTAGTATTGCATTGAAGTTGACATACACTACTCCAATGCAGGTTTTTGACAATTATTTTATCTGAGTGTATCCATGAAAACTTTAAATTATCTTAAATGTTTCCAAAATTGCTGTCAGACATATACTCTATGCATTCTTTTATATTACATTTTAACATCACATTTGGGGGATGTACCCGTGTTAATAAAAGTAGTTCTATTTCATTACTTTTAATTGCTACATTGCTTTCCATTATATGAATTACCACAGATTATTTATCTATGAGTTTTTGCCAGATATCTTTTATTAGGTTACAGAAAACCCAATCATGGCAGAGGTCAGGCAGGCTGACACCTGGTATAGAAGGACTGGGTCCACATGCTCAGGTGTCCTCTCCTATAACACAGCACAAAGCATGTGAGAGTGTCACCCAGCCCTCTGCATGATGTCCTGTGGAAACTGGGAAGTCAGAGTTCTTGTTTGTTTGTTTGTTTGTTCTGTTTTCAGAAATTCATTCTATGATCCATTGTTTTCTTCATCAGGGGAAGGGGGATGCTCAGCTGCAGTGGGGCATTATTTTGGGGAATCAATTATTTGCTAAATTGTGGGAATGTCTTTCTACAAAAGATTGGGATTTACTTTTGCCAGATACATCAGGGTACCAGTAGATAGGGATTAACATTTGTCTTAATTTTATTGGCTTGGAGAGTCCAAGCAAGAAATGTATATCACTCTAAACTGATGCTAGATGGAAGCTTGCGATTTCCATTTTTCAGAGAAGGTGTTTGTTGGCTTAGGCCAGATCCCCTGCAGAAATCAGCTTCCTTTCATGTTGTTGCACCTGTGAGGATGTCTACTTGTTCCTTCAGTGACTGAGCAGACTTTTAGGGACCTAAGGTTTTGCAGAGGTCTCAATTCCAATTTCCCACTTTGAGAAGGAACAAGACCTGTCACGAAGTGGGTATAGAAATCTAATCCCCTAAGCAGACGTAGCAGCAGCTCAATGTTCATTCTCCTACTTTTTTCATCCCACCTGCAGTTTAGGCGCCGTGGAGATTCTTTGCAAATGAATTTAAAGTCTTGTTAAAATGTTTGACTTGCCCAGTTTCCAAAGAATTTAACATTTTATTTGTCCAATTTCTAAAATAACTTATTATTAAGAATCACAATTACTTAATATTTTTATGACAGAACAGAGATTCAAATAGTTTTTGAATTTGGCAAGAATGCAATAATGAGCTACTCTATCTTGTTTTCTCTAAGAAGAAACAAAAACTATATCCTCATTTCGTTACTAACCAAATTCCTGAAGAATTACCTTTTAAACCTTATACTAAACCTCAAAAACTGGTTTTATCCATAGAACTGCATTTGTTTCATTTTAACCAGTAACTATAGAGCAAAAAAGCTGGAAAGGATTTATTATACTAAATTATTTATAATAATGAATTTTATTTAGAAAAGTAATAGCACTTTTACTATGTGCATGAAGTGGGCCTTAAAGGATTTGTCATAGAAAACCATTTGTTACAATGGCATTTGCCATATTAGAATTTACTCTGTAAATCATTAACATTCTTTCCCATTGAGTCACTCTAACTATAAGGTCCCACATTTTAACTTCAGTAGGAAGTAACATTTAAGAATATGTTGTGTCAATATGAAATTTTCTTATGATGTTTATTATAAAAATGTTAATACAATAAACATAATAGATATTTACCAGTGGTGACTCTGTAGTTTCAGAATGTTCATAGTTTGGCCTCTCTTGCAGGTCGCTTAATTCCAAGGATTCCTTGTCCTCTTGAGATAATTTCTCCTTAATGGAGGGTTTTTCTAAATCTGTACTTGGCAAAGGATCCTTGCTCTCATGTGATATACAGGAATCATCATACTTTTGATAACTTTCTATATCTGTGCTTTTCTCTTTGAAATTTCTCTCCATAAAGCTGTTTTCTTCTAATTTTTCAACAGCAAGAGAGTAAGCATCAGGATCCACAATGTCATCAGAATCTGTACCTGAAGTTCCTGCTGTTGAAAACACGCATTTACAACAGTTAAATAAAGTTAAACAAATAGATTGATTAAACTGTTCACAAACCAGAAGTTCTGCAGTATAAACCTTTATCAATAAACACTATTTTTAAATCAACGTTTCTTTACTGAGTTCTCAGGGTTAAAATACTTCTCTGCTTATGTTCATAAATGGTAATCCTAATTTACTTATACATTCAAACTTAAATGATTTAGACTAATGGAAGGAGGCAAGATTTTGTTTTGTAATGCAAACTTGAAACTGATGCAAATTTTCATTCCAGTCTGTGGTTCACTTCCCACTTTCCTACCCCCTCTCCCACTCAAGTTTTGTATCAGCAACTTGTGAGAAATAATGCATAGGGAATCTTATTTCCACATTTTTCCTCTTTCGCTTAGCATGACTAGTGATGAGGAGAGGGCAGAGGGAAATCTGCCAGATGAAAAAACAGCAGCAGTTAGGCGCACAGAAAATGTTTAAGCTGGGACACCTGCCTCTGGAAAACTACAAAAAGAGCAAGATTATATCAGTCACTCATCGCATTATGTCTGTTTTAAATATATCACTTCGCCTAGATCATTGGTTTTCAACCTGGCTGCACAATGGAATCATCTGAAGGTACTCTTTACAATTGTCAGTGTATGAGCCCAACCCCAAACCAATTAAACCAGACACTGAGAGTGGGACTAAGCACTGGTTTTTATGTGTTTTTGTTATTTTCCCCCTTCTGTCAAGTTCTCCAAGTGATTAATAATGTGTAATGTGTAACTATAGAGTTATGAAACATTGGTCTAGATTTTCTTAAGAATGAAAACTCTTTAAACATTTTGGCACCACATTGCTTTCATGCATGTATATTATATATATACACATACACACATATATACACGTACACTCATACACATATTTATACAGACTGAATACAGCTTTACCTGATTATCCCTTATTCTCTATTCTCTTTCCAATTTATACGTCTTATCTCAACAGACTGTAAAATCACAGAGGCTATAACTGAAATAGTCTCCAGTGACAGAAGCTCTGCCTCATTGCTCAGAGGACTGACCTGCTGCAGTCAGATGTTTATATAACTCAGCCATTACACACAGTGCTTAGAACTTCCAATATCACCTCTTAAACTGTACAAATACTATGAGAACTGCAGTAAGTTGTACGTCAGAGAAATACTTTTATAGAAAAACTTTATAAAAGCTATTCAATTAAATGAAATTTTTATGATAATGCTGTACTTTCCTCCTAAATTGAATAGAAATGATCTGAATCTGACTTTTTTGTAGAAAGAGATGCTATTTCCTATATGTAAATGTCTACAACTAACCTCTACAATATTTTTGCAAGATGGTAAAATTCCATTATCAGAATTTATTGCTGCTGAAAAGGTGACAACACAGCCTTTTAATAAGGTTTAAAATGTGATGCAGAGAGTACAGATATAATTTAATTTAGTCTATTCACTGGAAGCCCTGTTAAGTAATAAAAATTAGATGTCTTGGTTCAACATTAAAACGTCAATTATTCTAATCTGTCACAGCAACAGGCTAAATAAGAAAAATCACAGGATCATATCAATAGATGCAGAAAAATCAGTCAATAAAATCCAACACACATTCATGTTAAAAACTCTTAGTAGACCAGAAATAAAGTGGAACTTCCTCAACTTGATAGAGTACCTACAGAAAATTACAGTTAACATTCACACTTAATGATAAGAAATTTTACCTCTAAGATCAGGAACCAGACAAAGATGTCAACCCTTACCACTCTTTTTCAGCATTTGGAAGTCCTAGCTAATGAAATCAGACAAGAAAAAGGAAATAAAAGGTATACAGATTGGCAAGGAAGAAATACAGCAGATTTTACAAATTACAAATTACACGATGGAATTGATAAGTGATTATTGAAAGGTTGCAGGATACAATCTCAACATACAAAAGTCAACTGCTTTCCTATACACCAACAAGAATAAGTGGAATTTAAAATTAATAACAATATCATTTACATTAACCACAAAAAATGAACTAGTTAGGTATAAATCTAACAAAGTATGTATAAGATCTATATGAGGAAAACTATAAAATCTCTGATAAAAGAAATCAAAGAACTAAGAGATAGTTCACATTCACAGATAAGAAGACTCAATATTGTCAAGATGTCAGTTCTTCCCCAATTTGGTCTACTGATTCAATGCAATCCCAGGCAAAATCCCAGCAAATTATTTTGTACATATTGACAAACTGACTTTAAAGTTTATATAGAGAAGCAACACAATATTGAAGGAAAAGGACAAAGTCAGAGAACCGACACTATACAACTTTGAGAATTACCATACACCTATTGTAATCAAGACAATGTGGTATTAGCAAAAGTATAAAAATAGATCAGTGGAACAGAATGAAGAATCCATAATAGACCCACATAAATATATTCAACTGATTTTTGACAAAAGAGTAAAGTTGGTACAATGGAGAAAAGACAGTCTTCAACAAATGGTGTTGGAACAAGTGGAATTCACACGCCCCAAAATAAATCTGGACACAGACCTTATACTCCTCACAAAAATTAACTTAAAATGAATGATAAACTTAAATGTAAAATGCAAAACTATGAAACTCCTAGAACATAGGAGAAAATCCAAATGATCTTGATTATGGTAATGACATTTTAAGACACAACACAAAAGGCAGGATCCATGAAAGAAGTAATTGATAAGCTGGACTTCATTAAAATTAAAATATTCTGTTCTGTGAAAGATACTGCTAAGAGAATGAGATGATGAGCCACATACTTGGAGAAAATATTTGCAAAATACATACATAAAGTACTGTTATCCAAAATATATAAAAGAATTCTAAAATTTCAACAGTAAGAAAATGGACAACTCAATTAAAAAATGGGCCAAAGACTTTAACAGACACCTCATAAAAGAAAATATATATATGGAAAATATGCATATGAAAAGGTACTCAGCATCATATTTCATTAGAGAATTTCAAATTAAAACAATGGGATACCGCTATACAATTATTATAATGGCAAAAATCCAAAACACTGACAATACCAAATGCTGGCAAAGATCTGAAGAACAGGAACACTCATTCATTGCTGGTGGGAATGAAAAACGGCAGAGTCAATTTGGAAGAAAGTTTGCTGGTTTCTCACAAAATTAAATGTATTCTTACCACATGATCCAACAATTGTGCTCCTTGATATTTACCCAAATGATTGAGCAACGTATGACCAAACAAAATCTCACACGTGGATTTTTATAGCAGCTTTATTCATGATTGCCAATACTTGAAAGCAACCAAGATGTCCTTCAATAAGTAAATTTATAAATAAATTGTGATACATCCAGACAATGGAACATTATTCAGCACCAAAAGGAAGTGAGTTATCAAGCCATTAAAATATAAGGAGGTACCTTTAAGTGGATATTACTGAGTAAAATAAGCCAATCAGAAAATACTACACATTGTATGATTTCAGCTATATTACCTTCTGGAAAAGGCAAAACTGGAGACAGTAAAAAGGTCAGTGGTTTCTGGGGGGTTGTGTCAAAAGGCAGAGCACAAAGGATTTTTAGGGCAGTAACACTATTGTATTATACTATAATGGTAGATAAAAGTCATTACATATTTGTCCAAACCTATAGAATGTACATCACCAAGAATGAAACCTAATGTAAACTATGGACTCTGAGTGACAATGATGTGTCAAGACATATTCACTGATTGTAACAAATGTAATGTTCTGATTTGGGATGCTAACAGTGGGAGAAGCTGTTAGTTGGTAGAGGCTGAGGGCATATGGGAACTCTGGTACTTCCTGATCAATTTTGAAACTGCTCTAAAAAACAAGATCTATTTAAATAAATTATCTTCAAAGTAACACTTAATGGGCATTTGTGTTCAGTATTTTCCCAAAGGCAACTGAACATCAGGCTCCAGGTATGTCAAAAAATATCTTCTGGACTAGATCTGGAGCCCTAAAAATCCTAAAGTCCCATGTGGCTATAGTTCATGCTTGTATGATTTGGAGGCTTAGTAGGTGAAGATGTTCAAACCAGCAGGATTAGCACAGATCACTGTTCTCTACCATCTGCTACCCATTCAAAAGGTAATCATCAGTTTTACAGCTAGTGACTTCAAATAAGGATCTCTAGTATCCCTTAAATTCCTCACATAAGATATATTTATTGGCTTTTCTGAAAATCCTAAGTAGATAAAATATATTTTAAAAGCAGTGAAAATAATCTAGTTGCTCTATTTCAGTTTAGGGAAATGAGGTCTAAGGAAGGAAGTGACATGTTCAAGGTCACACAGTGATTAAGGCAGAAATGGAAACAAAGTCTGACTCCAAGGCCAGGAAACTTTGCTATGACTGTCTTTAAACGATGATCTCACCATCTGGAAACTGAAACCAGACATTAGCACACAAAACATTCTAATCTACAGATCCCAAGGGAACTGCCGGTGATAGCAACGTAGATGATTTGTTTTTGGTTTGGTTTTATCACTCATGTGAAACTTTACATCAAATTTAAATATTTTAGGAAAAGATTTAACGCAAGGAAGGGCAAAAGGGTGCCAATCAGAATCTTATCACTAAAAGCCCAGTAATCTTTTAAAAGCTGGCTCAGTCCATAACTTTTAGAATCTTATATTGTCTGCTTTTACCTCTAAATACAAATACTATTACCCATTGATTAAAAATAGCATTTGATAGAAAATTATGTATTTTCAACTGATTTTCTTCTGAGTACTAAATTTTCTGGGTTTAAAATGAACCCAAAATAGGCAGAGCTTTAATATACTGTAATACCAATAGGTTTTATTAAGTTACTAACATTCATTGTCAATAATATTAAGCAACAAAAAAAGGTTACCTTTTGAATTATCTTTACAATAAGAAGAGTTGTTGCTCAGATGAAGATGTAAGAGGTCTCTTTTTCCCTTGGTGAAAACATGATGTTGATGGATGTCATTTTCATACAGAAAAGTATTCTGATAATCATGAAATGTGCAACTTTCATGTTTAGGTACAAGCAAAAGAATACAGTTGAAAGAAATTATATATTTTAAAAATCCAGCTTATTAAAATAAATATAGCAAAACCTTAAGAAAATAAGGTTATTCATTTGTTTTAATGTTTAATGTTTAATGTTGTTTTAATGTACCGTGGACACACTCTAAACTACAAGTAACTAAATAGTATTATGAATTTAAAAGAAATAGGCACTGGGGACAAACCTAATTTAACTACGAATTTTCAATCTGACATTTCTTTTTTAAAATATTTTGAAATAAGTTTGGTTTCTTATGTTCTTTCTTCTAAAAGTGGAGAGTTAGCTTTCAATCTTATCAAGCTGATGAAATCAAGGTTTTATTGCTTAAATAAAATTTTTATTTGTTTATCAAGAAGTATATAAGTTCAAAAGCCATATGTGGTATTTATGTTTCAATTTTAATGAAGATTAATATAGGTAAGCATAGTTACAACTGAATAACATTTTCTGAGACCTGAATAATATATTTAATAATACTTGATATTTAGGTAAGCTGTACATGGTACCACCATAAAAACTCATGGATTAAGCTTAACCAAAAAGGTCCTCTGGTGTCATTTATGATCTTTTATGACTCTTCTTAAAAAAGAAGCAGCTCTATGGACACCTTCAATCCAAGATGCAAAACTACTGCCAAACTGTAATCAGAAATTTTCTCTGCCTTGTCGAACATGGAAGTCAAAGCAATGACTTGTGATAGGGTATATAAAAGGACCAAATTGGAGAGTAGAAATACCATCCATTTCCTTAGGGAAACAGTAGTGCATATAAACTTCTTATCTACTGACCAGAAGGTTGTCTCCTGCCAAAAGCACATTAGCTGCTAGATATCTGGATCTATGTCCAAACGTGGGGCTTTTCAGGTCCAAGGGCATCACTTAGGCCCACTGCTGTTCCACAATGCTGACAGGGGCCTAAGTTGATCTGAACATATAAACAAAGAATCGGTGTAGGGGCTACTTAAGAGGAACGTCATTCTGCTCTTTGCCCAACTTAATACTTTGCAGTCACGACACCTGAAATCCCAGCTAAAGCTTCAACAGCAAAGAGGACTTGGAGTAATTTTTAACGTGACTAACAGATACAGCTATATATTAATATTCATTTGGAAATAACAAAATTCTAAAAAAAAAGTTACAACGTGAACCATTATAATTCGTTTATTTGATTTATCACACAGTAAAATCTACCTGGGAAGTAATCTGTAGTTTAGGAGCTCTTTTTGTCTCTCAACCTAATCGTTAATATACCTGTTTTTATTTAGGGCTCATAACAAACTGAAGTAAGGAAAATTCAAAAATTATCTTTGGAGAAAATGAGAAAGTTCATATGAAATATATCAGCCTTGGTCAGCCATTTCAAATAATAACAATTCCTAAATTCAGAAGCATCTATTAAATAATCCAGATACTAGGTAGAGCATAAACATACCATTATAGGTAATTTTGTAATTATTGATTGTTGATCCATATTAGCAATATTGTACCCAAATTTAAACACATCTTGAGTAAAATATAGTCTAACATTAAAGTCACTTGTTTTTTATGTCATGAATTTCTCATGAGATAGTTGATTTTTTGTGAGCTTTTTAACAAGCATCGAAAGATCTTACCTTTGTTGACTGTCTGCATCTGCTAACTCAACTTTATAAGGCACGGCGTTTCCTGATTCTTCAAATTCCTCTTCATAAGTCTTATTAAATGCATGTTGTATAATATTAGTATGTTCAATACATTTATTATACACTAACCAGTTAACATGTGTGTACTAGACATTTTCTTCTTACAAGGAATGTCATGAGCTCTCTGACTATGTGCCACAGAACATTCGACATCTGGCGGCGTCAGTTCACTTTATCACTACTATCACACCCAGAACCAAAACTTGCAGCTTATGTTTTATCATGCAATGACTAAGTGCCAAGTAGATTAGTGACTAAGGTGTTTTTAATTCTTTGGCCGGCATGCCATAAACTTACTCCTTGCACCCACAATTTAATGAAGAGCACACATAAATATATACACATACATATATATATGCATTGTGTATGTATTTATTTGTTCAATCTTAAATTTATACAGAGGAGAAACAAAAATGTTGCTAAGCATACACACACACATATACACATACACACAGAGCAGAAGCTATTAATCAAAAGAAGAAAGTAGTACATAAAAAGGTACTTCCTCCATTCTAGTCTTTCTCTGTGATAACCACAGGAAGCACAATGTGGTGGTGGAGCATCCAGCTACTAGAGGACCAGAAAGTCAGAAATGGACTGAATTTGACACAACTTAACTCTTCAGCCTGAAGCTCTAGCTCTGACTGGCTCTAGCTCCAGCTGATTCTACTTGGTGTCTGCTAGAGGTTTATATTCAAGTTACTACTGTACTAAATCCCTTACATCTTAATACTGTTTTTCCTTTAAAATAATGTGAAATGACATTCAACAAACTCAATGTATACAAATTATATTAAAAAGATACCATATAATGAGACTAATCTTTGTTAAAATGCCTGACAACATACAGAACTAAATGAAACAAATGCTAAACCACATTTCTACAAGTTAAAAGAGTGAAATGTCTTCTCATCTCCCATATTATGACACAATATCAATTCAGCTCACAAATTTACTGTCTACATTAAAACTATAGTCTGCTTTATTCCTTTCAGCATGTTTAAATTCAAACACTTGTAAATTTAAACTATTAAATTATGTGGTATTATGAAAGAAATCTTGTTGAAAATAATATGTACTTGTAACTGCATATTATGAATTTCCTGTTTGTTAAGTAATATGAGTGGTCATTATGCACTTACATCATCCAGTTCGACTATTTTTAGAGATGGTTCAGGTCTCTCTCTGTTCAATTCTTCTACTGGCAGAAAAAGAGCGGAGGGTTGTATTTTGAGCTCCTCAACTAGAAAATAAGATTAAAAGTCATCTCATCAAAGAATATTCTTTACCTGATAATTCATCTTCTAATCATACAGGCAACCATAGAAGAAGAATATTCTCCAAAGGTATAAATACTGTCAATTTTAATTTTCCCAGCTCAGGTAAAATACACATTTACTTAAAGTTCTATTTTTAAATGAAACTATTTAAACTGAGGCTAAGTAAACCTAGAGGGTGGGGAGAAGAGTGTGCATGATTCTAATCTGGAAATGAAGTGTGCACAGTGCAGTTGAGAATGATACAGTCAAGAAAACCAAGAGCAGCTACTGATTGATGCTCAGTGAATTTGAAAATATCTAATCAAGGCTGAACTAACCATCACTATCTTCATCATTTTCATTCTGAGAACACTGTGCCTCACTCGTGGTTTTATCCTGAGGTTTGAATGTATCCGGTAGCATGTTTTGAAGTTGCTCCTGTGGAGTTCTACAAAACAAGAAAGAAGCAATTAAAAGCCTAAAGTGCATTACCTAAAACTTCCCCAGACAAGATCTTGATTTATTTCATAGAAGAGTGTGTCTACAAAATTAACGATGAAACCGTAGCTGTGCCTCTAATTCACAGAAGAAAAGTACAATTGTATAACAGCATCTTAACCTACTAAAAGCATTTTGTAAGTCAAATTAATATCACACAAGATTTTTAACTTCACTTATATCCTACTGTTTCAAAGTTTAGGATAAAAATCAAAGTTATGACAGAATTTAATGCTCTTGCAAAATATACATGGAGTCTGTGAAACATATCTCACTGTTTAAAAAGCTAATTTACAAATGTTTGCTGTATCTCACTGTCTTGGCATTATGCTGAAGAATTCTAAGAGAATTGAAGACATTTTTCTAAACCTCCACTAAGCCAGTATGGCAACAAAATAGTCTCCCATGAAATGAACATGAGGTATTCTGGCTGTAGCATCTATGACCTAACTAACAATGAGGTCTGATGTGGACCATCTCACATACAAGGCAATGAAGTACAGGAATTCTTAGAGGTCATGAGCATTTGGTTCCAGAGGATATCTCAAATTATGGGGAAGAGGGTCACTTTTGAACTAAGAATGTAAGTAGCTGCACAGCCCTTCAAGATTATGCATGCTCATGAAGTCCCCACATCAGTCAGGGCCTTCTTAACAATATTAGCAGCGACGTCAATATAAAACTTAAAATGTACCAGGCTCTGTTCTAACCGATTTGGGTACTGAATCTTAATAGGAGTATTAAACAGGCACTAGTGTTATCTTAAATTGGTGAGAAAAACTGAAGCACAAAGAAGTAAACCAATTTGTTCAAAGTTATTCAAGTAGTAAATACAGCAAAGAGAATTTGAACCCAAGCAGTTTGCCTCCCCAAGCCCATATTCTTAATCATTACCCTATATCACCTCTCTCCCAACTAGCAAAGGCCCTAAAAATTTAATAATCTTCTGGCAAACTATAACTGTGTGCATTTTCCCAATATATGCAGTGTATATATCAGAACACTCCAAAATATTTATATATTATTCAGCTTTGAATAGCATGTCATCTTGCATCCACAATTTAATCAAGTGATGGAAAATATTAAAGAGTAAAGGCCAAAGACAAACTGGCATCGGGCCACCAGAAACCTCTTTCCAGTTTGACGTGTACTAAAAATTCAATCAGAAGGGATAAATTAGGAGCGTAAGATTTCCAGATACTAACTACTATATATAAAATGATAAACAAGTTTCTTCTGTATAGCACAAGGAACTATATTCAATATCTTGTGGTAATACATAATGAAAAAGAATATGAAAATGAATATATGTATGACTGAAACGTTACACTATACACCAGAAATCATAAAAAAAAAAAAAGTAAGCATTAAATGTATCTGTCGTGAACATAGCCATATCTAAGAGCCTAGAATTTACCTTGCACATCACAGGTATTCAAAAAATGTTTCTTAAATAAATTTATGATGTACACATTCAAAAAATTCAATCACAAGTACACAGAAATGTACTAATATCCAGATATTCCTTCTTCATTAAGTGAAGACTTTTCTAATTTTAGGAGGAAAGCCCTGAACCAAAGACATATAGAGTCTAGATACTAGAGTATTAGAGTTGAAGGGAGCCTACAGATTATTTATTCCAAACTGAATATTTTGCATGAATCAAGAGAATTTAAGTGATTTGCCTATGAATAACTAGTTAGTCAACAAACTAAATCTACATTCTCGATATTGGGACCCTGGCACCACTGTTTTGTTAAAAGATCATGCCACATAAATAAAGAATGAAATACATTTTAGAATAGGATCACCTCACCAGAGTTTCCTCTTTTAAAATTTAAACAAGTATTTATTGACCACTGATCAATTCGTTGGGGAAAACCAGACTGACCAAGTAATTCTTGCAATGAGTGGTAAATTTATTCTGTGAATCGGTATTAGGCTGCTAGCATCAGAATCACCAAGGAAGATCTTTTTAAAGGCACAACCTCATATTAAGATCACTATCAAAATCTATCAACACTTATGTATTGGCAGGTAAGATACAAAAAAGTTACTATCCAAATCGGAAAAGAAATACAAAAACAACATGCGATAGAACATGTATTTATAAGCCTGTTGAGCTTTTCATAAACGACAATTATAGGCACAAGTGAAATCTAAACTATGATTAAGGTTATCAATATAGGAAACTTTTCTGAAGCACAGGATCAGAAAGCCATCACAAATTTGTGAATTGCAAATGAATTGCTCTACAGTAGCATCTGTAATTAAGAAATAAAGCATTAACTTAAAAAATGATTACCATTAAAAAGTAGCTGTGGAAATACGACCCTGGTGAATACATTCACTAACCAGTCTTCCTTGCTAAGGAAATTTGCCAGCATTCAGTATTCAGCGAGCTCAATATTCATGTGCCCACATTTAAAGCTTCTTGGATATGTCTAAGCACAAATGATGGTGGTCACTGAATAACAAAATGGTGCTTCTTTTATTGTATAAGAAACTCCATATGAAAGGCCTTGAAAGGCAGCCACTAAAAAAGACAAGTGACCTTCGGGTTACTTTATGTACCAATGCCTAAGCTAGAAAGAGGCAACTACCGATATACACTACTAAGTTTCACACCTGGAAGACTGTTACGGGCATCATACTTTGAAAGAGATACAGACAACTTGGATAGTAGTTACATGGGAATACCCAGGATAGTGTATGAATGAACTTAAAGCTCTGCCACATAAACCACCATGGGATACAACTACCCATCTATTAATGTCACTGCCAAAAGAAAAAAAAAAAAAACCTGAAAACACCAGGTACTGGCAAAGATGGAGAGCAGCTAGAACTCTCACATGTTGCAGGAAGAAATGCAAAACTGTGCAGTCACAGTGGAAAACAGTTTGCCAGTTTCTCGTCAAGATAAACACATAAATACCACACAACCCAGCCATCCTGGTCCAAGTATTTACCCAAGGAATTAAAAACTTACATTCAAACAAAAACCTAAATGCCAATGTTTGTAACAGGCTTAGTCATAATTGTCAAAAACTAGAAACCAGCAGGACGTTGTTTAACATCACGATGACGAAATACTGCTCTACAATAAAAAGGAAAGGGCTCTGATTTACTAAAGAAGATAAATGAATCTTAATACATTTTGCCAAATTAAGGACATGAAGGGCTACACATTATGTGATTTCATATACATGACATTCAGAAAAAAAGCACATGTATAAAAATGCATTATATTCATAAACAGAATTAAAGTTCTTATTAGAACAGAAGGGATTTAATATTGCTTTAAAATTATTTAGGCAAATGTGAAGCACATATATAAAATTGCTACCAAAAAGCATGTCACACAAGCAAGGAACATTCATAGCTTTTACATATCTTACTAATAATGGAAAAATTCTGAACATACCTTCTGTGTTTTTTAAGCCATAATTTTTCCATATAGGATAGGCTGTCTTCTTTAAATTCAATTGTAAGTGGTTCTGTCCAAATTTTCAGATTAGTTTGTACTTCACATTCTCCCAACGAGTCTATAAAAATAAACATTATCATAATTAATGTAACCTAGTCTATAAATTACCACATCTCTCAAGATACAGAACTCATCATTTTTTTGAGGCAAATGTGCCTTGATTTTTATCTATATAATCAATAGTTCTAGGCTTAAATGATGCAAAAGTGTTAAATATTGGTGATTTATTATATGACTGTATAGACAGTTCCTTTCAATAATCCTTTGAAATGAAAAAAATCTTATGATTCACAAGGTTTTTAAAGGGACTAATCACTTTAAATGATAAATACAAATAGATTCATTATATATTCTATAAACACACACACATAAAGGTATGTACTATAGCCACTGACAATAATATTTACACATTATGGGAAACAGAAAATAAATAACTCAGAATGGCACCTGGAGGAGACAACTGTTCTCATGAATTTATATCTACATGGCAATTTACTTCCAGATGCTTAAGATGTTTCTGAAGTACTACTAAATTAAAATCACTACTCAGAGATATTTTAAACTGATGGAGACTTCTGGGAAAGAAAGCGGTATAAATCCAGAATTACTAGTCCCTCCAACCTCCTAGATATGACCCCTCTCTCCAAACTGATCATCACAGGAAGAAAAGTGTTGGAGAAAATAGGGAAGTAGTAAAGAGGGGAAAAAAGTATTTTTATAGACTAAGGCTAGAGAATAATCCCGAGTTCGTACTGTGGGCTTTAATGAACAGCTTTCAGGAGCAGCCACATGCCAGCAATAGAAATAAACCAAAAGAATGTAAGTCACCCGACGCCTGTTTCCCCTGAAGTGTAGAGCAGTGCTGAAGAAAGCAGCTGGAGGATGTTCTGAGAAACACTGCCGGAATGCATTACCTGAAAGAGCAGGTGTTAAGGCCAAGAGCAAGTCCTAGGGGAAAGGAGAGCCCTCCACTGTGAGGCCCCCTTTTCACAAGAAAATGAAATACTTCTTAGGAGGAAAGGAAGAAAAAAATGGGGACTCGCTTTTTTTCTGCCTAGGTCTTTGAGAAGAGCCACTTGGTTTGAGTGATAACCCCCACACCTAAAAGGATGAGCAGGAGGGAGGAGATGAAGCGGCTGGCCTGCGGGCCACTCTTCCCCCATCACCAGTGGCACCGCTCCTGCAAATAAAGATGGCAGGTGGCTTGCATTAACTTGCCTGTGAATCTGTTAACAACTAGACTTCCCTGGCAAACTGATGAATGATATTTTCTAGAAAAAGGGTCTTTAGCTATGTAACGTATTTAGCAGGATAACCTTTGCTTCAAAGTGCTTATAGAAGACAAATCTAGAACACACTGATTTATGAGGCATGTCTCCCTGGAAAATGACACATGATCTGTATCTCTAGGTTTTGGTTTTTCTCCCTTGTGTAATGGCTCCCTGGCTACACGTTCTTTTGGGTGTGTGTGAGAATTTTTTAAACACCTTTATTGTGGTATGGTTCCTGTACAGTAAACTACACATATTTCAAATGTACAATTTGATGGATTTTGATAGATGTATACACCAATGAAACTACTGAGAATTTCTGTGAGATGCCCCATCATTCAGATTGATGGGGTTGTGGGTATTTTCCTTAATAGACAGTGCAAAAGTCCTTAGGTAAAAATTTGCCTGAGATGTCTGAGGAACAGCCAGGAAGCTGGTGTGGCTGAAACGGAACAAGCCAAGGGGAGAGTAGCAGAAGATGAGATCACAGAGGTAGGAACTTCAGAAGAAGAGGTATTTTTAAAATTTTATTTATTTATTTTCGATGGAGGCACTGGGGATTAAACCCAGGACCTCGTGCATGCTAAGCATGCACACCATCATTGAGCTATTTCTCTCCCTGCCAGGAACTTCAAGTTACATTGAACCTTCTACACCAGTGTAAGTACTTGCCTTTCACGCCGAAGGAAGGCAGACTTTAGAGTACACTAAAATAAAGTCAAGTTAGAAATCGGTAACAGAAATAATTAGAAAACTTGAAAATTCAAAGTTATTCAATGTTATTAAGTTAAATGGCCAAGAAACACAGAAAATGTACTCAGTCATTCGTAATGAGACACGCAAATTAAACACACAATTTTACCTCTATCAGACCAGTAAAAATTTAAATCTGACAATTTAAGTGTTGGTGATAATGGAAAGCAGCCAAACCTCTGAAACACTGCAGGTGGGAGCAAGAACAGACACAAATACTTTGGTAAATAACTCAGCTGTGTCTGTATAGCTGAAGACATGTACCACCTGTGACCCACTCTTCTACTCCCAGGAATAGACACCTAGAAATGGATGCACATGTGCGCCAGGAGATCTGTGTAAGAATATTCTTAAGAGCAATGGTGGGGTTTCCTGGTAGGGTTAAGGGAACAAGTAATGTTGAAGCAGTCAGAAACACAAAATAATGGGAAGCTGTTACCAACCCTAGGCTTGAGAGGAAAAACTACGAAAAGTCATTGAAAGCAATGCCTGTGGATAAAAGGTCATCTGAGTGTTGCTTTGTAATGTAAGTAGAGAATGTAGTCACTGCAAAATCTCAGCACATCAAGGAGAGGGAGAGTAAATACTTATCCCTCTTTCTTCCCCAAAATGGGAATCAACCCAACAACCATCAATATTTAAACAGGTAAACAGTGGTATATTCATATAACAGAAGACAGTTCAGCAGTGAAAATGAGTAAAATACAACCATGCACAACTTTAAGGGTAAATCTCAGTAAATAGTATTGAATAAATTAAAAAGTTGTGAAAGAATACATACACTAGCTTTCTACTTACATATTATGCAAATACATGCAAACTTAACTACACACTGTTGAGACATGCACATACGCAGTAAGCTGCAAGGAAATCAAAGGAATGAAAAACACAAATCCAGGCTAGTAATAATCTCTTCTAGGGAAGGGAAGAGGGAGAGAACAGGCACTTATTGTTTTGTTTTTCTCCATAAGCTATATAAATTTTACAACTGTTCTTCTGTATCTACTTAATATCTTAGGGAAAGGAAAATATTTACAAACATATACATATAATATACATACACAAAACCAATCATATTTATGATACTCTGGGGCAAAAAAAATCACATATTATACCAACAAAAGTTCTCATCATAATATTTCTGCATGGCAACAACATTGTTGACTCATTTCTGTATTTAAAAACACTATCCTCCATGGGGTTTTATGATAATACACTTTATAACACTCCTCCTGTATCTATGTCAGTCTTTGTCTTCTTTGCAGGCTTGTCTTTCCAGGTCACTAAATGTGATTCCTCTCTAGCCTGTCATGCTACAATCCTGCCCCTCGCTCTCTAAGGTCCAGGCACACACATCTATCTTCAGTTCATTAACACAATATGCTCTCTCCATCATGAAGCCTTTGCGCAAGTTAATTTGTCTTCACTCTCCGAATCATTTTCTAAACCTCAACTCAAATCTTGGCTTCTTAGAAATCCTTCTTTTGATCATCTGCATCAGTCAGGGTCCTGACAGGAAAGAGAAAACTCAAAGGGGTAATTTGAAGATGGTCAAATGAAGGGAAAACTTATAATCATGTCGCAGGGTTAAGGGAACAAGTGATGCTGAAACACTCAGAGACTAAAAATAGTGGGAAGCTGTTACCAACCTTAGGCCTGAGAAGACAAAGGAAGAGAACTGGTGTAAGTAGTCACTGAAAGCAATGGCTGTGGTTGAAAGGTCACCTGAGTGGTGCTAATACACACTCCAAATCTCAGCACATCCAGAAGGAAAGAGAGAGAGTTAACACCTCTGCCTCTTTCTTCTCACCCTTCAATGTTCTGTTAGTGTCTACAGTTGGCCAAACCCAAACAGAAGTCAGAGAACAAGGGAGCTCAGCTGACGCAGTCTCTAGAGATCAGTCCCTAGGGGCACAGAGTAGGGCAGAAATGGAAGAGGATGGACCTGGACAGACAGTCTACTCAGTTTGCATCCAAGCCTCCATTTGTCTCTGTCTGTCTGTCTGTCCGCCTGCCTGTCTCTTTCTCTGAAAACAAACAAAACAAAAAAACAAACTCATATCTGAAGCATAAGGATACACAAAGTTCTACAGCCACTCTGTATCATAGGGAGACCTCAACTTGGTGATACGCCCAACTGAAACCTAAATTGAAATGTTAGATGCCAGTAGTACACTTTATATTAGGTAACAGGAAAAAGAGAGGAGAAAACCAATTACTCAACATAAAACGTAGCTGCTGTGGGTCTCCATTTTGTAGCCGGTTTTGAAGCCTACATTGATTTGATTACCCTAGCTTCCGTCTCCCCCACCCCCCATTCTATGCTCACCTTACTGTCTGCCAACACCTTTGACCTAGTGGGGTGACTCAAATCTCAAAGGATTCAAGACAATAGAAGTCCTCTTTTGGATTCCCACCAAAGTTGGGTTGCCACCTTTTCTTCAATGAACATTATTACTGGACACAGAAATATTGGTAAGTACACCACTGAATGGCTGGCAGATGAAGTCCATCTTATCTTTATTGTGTGATAACAATCCAATTGTTCTCCAGTAATCGTCCTCAAACAACATGGTCAGTACAGTGACCCTGACTGACTATTCATTCAGTGCTGATGAGCCCCAAAATGGCAGTGGGTAGTCTCAGCTTCCTGTTTAATGGAAGTTCTGCTGGAATTTCATGCAATATAGAGAACCCTGTAGGAAAAGCACCCCAAACCCATAAGACATTTCTCAGCTCGAACTCATACTGAACTGAACCTTCAGCAGGCCATTCCACAAAACTATCAAGCCAGCTGGGTAGGGCTGCACACGGCACAACGAGTGGTTTACACAGGTGTTAGCCTATTCTTATACCTCTTTCATAATAAAATGAGTGTCTTACTCTTAGACAATGTTGTGTGCGGTACCATTCTGATAAATAAAGCTTCTGCTGGCAGACACACTACAGGCAGGGAACGCAGATCCTCTTCTGAAATACGGAGCTTTTCCCATGAAGACAAATTACTGTCCTATCCATGATGGAAGGGGTCCAATATAATAATTACGTAACAGATACTCCCTGTTCACCAAATCCACTTAGCATTATGCCACCAATCCAATGGGCAAGCATTATCTTCTGTGCACTATCAAAACAATCAAGGTCCTTTGGGGCTTCATAATGCTAGAAAGCTGGAGAGTTAATGTAGGTCTGGAGTGAGGCTGCAAAGTATACTATTATCTCTGTCATATGATATCAAACTATTTCTGATTATACTTACTGATAGAAATAGAAAAGAATACATTTGCTCTATCAAGGAGCAGCAAACTATAGCCCTTGGGCCAAATCTGGCACACTAATTGTTTTTATGTGGCCTTCAAGTTAAGAGTGGTTTCTACATATTTTAATGGTTGAAAAAAATCAAAAGAAGGATAACATATTGTGACATGTGACAATGATATAAAATTCAAATTTATGTCCACAAACAAGGTTAAATGGGAAAACGGCCACACTCATTTGTTTGAATTTTATCTACGAGTGCTTTCATGATACAATGGCAAAGTTGAGCACTTTTCAATTGCCCTCAAAGCCTAAAATATTTACTGTCACTCTACAGAAAAATCACCCCCTGTGCTAGACCAATAGCTGTCTCCCTCTCCCTGCCACAGAGAACATGTTAGTTTTCTCCAGCAAAGACCCTACATCCAGAAAGGCGACTGTGATCTGTATCGTCATCATCTGATCGTTTACTCTAACTTGAGGTCATTCTCCAAGATCACTGGCTTTTACACCAAATAGGTCAGTTAAATGGAGATATAATAATAAGCAACATTCCTGCATCTTTCAAGTCTCTGATGTTGGCATTAATTTCTAAAATCTCCAGAAATGTGGTATTGCTTCAGGGATGGTATTTTAGCGTGGACGCTGGCAAGGGAGAGAGACAGTTCTAGGGTCTTCTATTTATTTACTACCATAACGACCTTCATGCCACAGGTCAGACTACCAACATAGGGATTCTGCCTGTTACTAAGTATATCCATTCCCAATATATATTCAGGACTGAGGAAAAACCACAGTCCCACAGTTTCAATGCACTATGAGACAGAGTAAAGACAAGACTCTATCTATTTCTTCATCTCCATAAATCCCTAAGACTGACTGGCAGACTATGGTGGTACTTCGGGTCTTCAGGGATAAGTGTAGGTTCAGACCCAGAATCTAATAACCCCTATGAACGTCTGGGTATTGCCTTTCCTCATTGCATGTTTATCCTGGTAAATAACCAGTTCTGCAGTTAAGGCTTAGAGGACGATTCATAGTGTACTCTTGTAGCCAAACTACAAAATCCTGCAAAAGAATTTGATCTTTATCTCTACTAAAAGGCTCCAGATCTGTGAACTGGCTTAGTGCTGGGATCTTTATTAAAACTCTGCATCCCCTGTATGGTGGCTCAGGTTGAGTCTCTGTCCATTAGGTAGAAATTTTCTGCTCAGATAGGAAAAACAGGAGATTGTACAACTTCTTCATTCTTACGTACTCCAGTTAATATCACAGGTTTCTGTGAACAGAAACATCCTGATTACTTGTCTTCCCTGCCCCTTATTTTGGTATTTTTTTTTTTACTATGACTTTGATCACTACATGCCAACATCTGGCCTCTACCATTCCACAGTGCCATGAATTTCTGTGGAATCAGGCAGTTAATTCCATTTAAGCATCTCCAGCCACAATCATCTTTAGCCTATGGGGGAAAGCTACAACACATCATTTCTTCTGTTATTTTTAAGTACTGTGTCTTCAAAGTGAACAATCAAAAGGGCATTTCTATAGAAGACTTAGTCTTTTTCAGAGTAGAAAAGTAAAGTAATACATCAAAATATGATAGCACAAACAAAAGAGCACATAAAATAACACAGTCAATGATAATTAAATTGAGATACATACTAAAAAGGGTATGCAAATAAGTCTTGAAAATACTAACAAAATTGATGTATCATGAACAAATGTAGGAAAAATATTTGAAAGAGAACATTATTTAGTAAAAGAATCAAATTCTAATTGGGAAGAAGGTGTGTGATATCTTGACATTTAAAATTATACTATGTTACAAAAGAGGAATAATCAGGAGAGTTCCTTCGTTGGAAAAAAATGAAATAAAAATCATAAAATTAGATGTTGTCAACTAAGTTATATGATTTAAATTTATTATCTAACATTTTATTTTTAACTAAAGTTTTATTTTAAATGAAAAGCAACTGGAAATCTCAACAAGATCCTGAGTAATAAAATTAATAAATTGAATACTTTTGAAAGTATGATTTTCCTCAAAAGATACTGGGAAACTTAAGGCAAAGATACTGTACACTTCAGTCATCTGGATCTTCAATGTCTAAAGCACAGGTGTGAAAATCATCAAGGAAAAATAAAAAGAAATATTTCTTCAAAAAGAAAGAGAAACAAAAGACAAATAATTATTCCCCTGAGCTTCACAGCAGTCCTTGAAATAGATTTCTCAAGACGTATTAATATATTTTTACTTCCCTCTCATAGATCCTCCTGTTTTATGTGTTGTAATTATAGTTCAGTGAAGGAATAGTTGTTCTAGCAAAAATTTTCTGCTAGGAAAGGAGAAGATGAAAGCATTTCTCCCTTCATCTGACTGCCTGAATTTACATAGGAAACAAAGGCAAAATATCCCCAATGCCCAATGTAGGGTTCCATGATTATTTAACCACTAACCAATGGTCAGATAGTGACTACTCTTTTGAAGAGTTATATCAAACTGCTATCACAATGTTAATAGTTTTTGAACACTGCACTTATACTCACAGAATATAGAGAATGGAGAAAAAAATGCAGCTTTATTTTAAAGCATTAATTTAAAAAAAAAAAGCTGTACCTGGTTTTGCTTCATGCTTCTCATCGTCATCCTGATGTCCGGTTCTCCGTTGATTTAAAGCTTCCTGAAAGGATTGGGCAGAAGTTTCCTCATCGGAGAGCTCCTCACGCAAGAGCCAATCTCTTGGGTTTGTATATTGTTCTTTTTTTGTTGTTGAAACATCTACCTAAACCAATCACAAATGTATCTAAGTGTACTTCGCTAGATTTCCTGTATCTTAAAACACAAATAGCATTCATTATTGAGCAGTGTGAACCACACATCATTTTTTTTTACTTAGAATAGAATGTTTTTAAGTTCTATTTATGTGCTTTACTGATTTCTTTAAAACTCTGCAGGCAGTTCTAAATGGTCTCTTCAGAAATTATTAAAACTAGAGCCTGGAGGACTGAAGATTTATCATTATGTTATTCCCTCAGTCTTTTCCCTGGAAAGCAGTGATAGCCTTGTATCTAATCCTCCTATTTCTCATATCTTGTGCTCCCTGAAGCCGCCCCACAGCAGAAAGAGCAGTTTCTTAAAATGTAAATCTGATCATGTCACTCCTCTGCTCAAAACCCTCCAAAGATTCTCTGTGAAACCCTCAGTTCCTTCAAGGACTTGCAAGGCCGTACACAGCCTTGTATTCCCCTGTCTTTTACTTCACTTCCTTCAATTCCCCCCTTCATCCACCTGCTCCAGCCAAACTTATAGTCTGGTAGTTCTGGGAACCTGCCGAGCACATGCTACTCGAGGACCTTGCATTAACTATACCCGCTGCCTGGAATGATACTTTGCCGTATCTTCTTCACACAGCCAATCCACTCATTTCATTAGGTCTCGGCTCAAATGTCACCTACTCAGAGAGTAGGTGATTGATTATACCTTACTGGTGACCCTAAGAATACAGCCCCAGCATCCCCCACTTTCCAAACCCTTATCTGCTTTATTTTTCTCCCAACAACTTATCTCCATGTGAATTTACTCTATATGTTTATTTATTGCCTGTCTCTCCCCATTAAAATGTAATGAGATCAGGAATTTTGTGTGCCCTCAGTGCCAAGAGCAGTGCCTGGCACAAAGCAGGTGCTCATTAAAAGTCAAGTGAATGAATGACAAACTAATTAATGCATATGAAATATTGCATGCTTCTCAGTGTAATGATGGGGGAAAGGATAAATTCAGTACAAAATATAGATACGCTGTGAACACACAGAATAAAATAAAGGTAGGATGTGGCAGTTAGTTATTCAGTGAATCAGAGAAAATAGCCAAATCAGGAAACTAAAGCAAAATAAGTTCCACACCAATGCTGAATTATCAAATGTGGCTACCTACACTGATCGAACTGCTAAATCTCCATTGTGTATCTTCTAAACACAAGAGTCGATGTTCAGCCTTTAATTGCAAACTAAACAGGCAGATTGTTAGAGAACAATTGAGAGAAGGTCACACATTTCAATATAAACAGAAAGCATCCAGGGACCGGCAGAGACTATGCTAGCCCTTGACCACAGAAATACAGTGAGTCCACAATAGAAACAGATGTAAGAAGCAGATATTTAACTTAGATAAACAAGAATCCTATGGGCAAAAAGCAGGAGGAACATTTTAGAGAGAGGGAAGGGAACATGTGTTAAGATGTGGAGCACAGAGGCATGGAACTGTACATAGTTCATGTCACTATAGCAAAAATTAGGATATTAGAAAAAATAAAGAGTGGAAAGACAAGGGCAGATCATAAAGGATCTTGCCTGCTATCCAGAGGATATTACACGTAAACATACTGGAAACGTAAAGCTACTTTAGAGTCCCATACAGAAGTGTGGGACTCTAAGAAAGAAATTAGGGAATAGTGAATCCGGATGCAAGGAAACCAATTAAAATTTGCATCCATTTGTCAATATCTGTCCACATTACAAATGCATGATCCTCTTCACCTAGGAATTTCAGGACTTTATCATATGTATATACTTATACATAAATATGAAATAATACTTTTCAAAATAATCCTTTATACTATAGTTAGAGGCAGGGGAAGGACCACAGAAAGTGTCTGTTCTTGCTGGCCTGGGAAGCTAGAGAGGAGGCTGCCACCAACAGTAACATCTATAGCTTTTGGAAAAAGGGTAATGCATTTAGTTTGGAAATACTGAGTCTCAGAAGCATGTGAAAAGGTACTTACAGATATTCAGTAAGCAAATATGTGAGTGTGTGTGTGTGTGTATGCTGTACTAATGAAGAAGAACTGAAAACTCAGTGCTTCATACAAAATGGGTTAAGTATTCTGGTGATTTCAGCAGCTCTTCAGGGCAGCTCCCTTCCAAGCAATGAATCAAAGATATAAGTTGTTTGCATTTTACAGCTATGCCTTTAGGATACTTGGCTTCCACACAGTGGTGATTGGATAGGAAAACGCCAGAGAACTGTACATTGGCTCTTAAATGTTTCAGCCCAGAACTGTCATATGTCACTTCCACTCAGAGCCCCACATGATCCTGTCTGATTCTACAAGGCCTAGGAAATTTGAAGAGCACATGGAATCCAATGTTGTATATCCATTAACCCTCTAGGCCACATGATAACCCTGCAAGGTATGTTTTAATACCCACACTTTCCAGAGGAGGAAACAGAGGACTGAAAGGCTAAGTAAATTGCCTGATGTTACAAAACGGTAAGAAAACCAGAGTTGGTATTTCAAAACCAGGTTTCAGTCTCTAAAGTGGAAGCTCTTCTGTGAACTGCAGCCCTTTCCAAGGATATCCATTGTCTTGAATCCATAAGAAAAGTCCTGAGACAAATATCAGGCTTTAGCATCATTTTTGACTCTTCTGGGCACTCTAATTGCTTGGTGATTCAATTAAAAATCAGATTCTTTGGCCCTAACCTAGATGTAAAAAAATCAAAATTTGAATGGCAGAGCAGGAATACAGATTTTTAACAAATGCATGCCTATTGCAGTTGGAGAACCACTGCCCTTCAGCATAGACGACTCCCAAGCAGCTGAGAGGGTCTCTCTTCGGCGTGTGCACTGTGCACAGTTGGGGGCACTCCTCAGCGTGGGCAGCAGTGACGCCCAGCCAGGAATGCTCACCGGAACTGAGCCGTTGTTAAAGCCACACACATTGGGACCCACCCAGTTATGTGTGCATCTCTAATGTTTCTCTAGCTGATTCTAACGTCCTCTCCTGGATGAAACCGCTGAATTAACGGTTTTTAAGTTAAGACAAGAACTGGAGGGTCTGTACAGCATACACAGTTACCAATGGGGACAAGAGGCAGCGTTTATTGTCGGGATTGAAAGCACAGGCAAAGGAGCGCACTCTAGAGCTTTCCAGTGCAGCCAATTACTTAACTCCCCTCTGCCTTCCTCACCTGTTAAATGAGGTATTGATAATGCAGAACTTGTATGGTTGCTGTGATTACTGGATAAGATAAAGCAATTAAAGGACAAAGCACAATGCCTAGCATAAGGTGTTTAATAAATGTTAGCTGCTGATTTATCACTATTTCTGCTGCTAAGATAAATTAGATAAATTGGCAAGTATGAAGGAGAAACCCTTAAAACCACCGCATCTGGGGAGTGATTAAAAGCAGGTAATTTGGAGTCACATGGTCTGTGTTCAAATCTAAGCCCCACTAGCAATGACACCTTGGGCAATCTGAACAAACTGCACTCTGCCACTATCTTCTCCTCTGAAAAAAAAGAAGTAATTTTCAAAAGGCTAAAAAAGAGAAAATACACATGAAATATGTAAGATGGTATCTGGCACATAGCTGGTCCTTAGTACGGTATTAGTCTAACAATAAGGCTGTAATTCACCCAGTGATTCTTCACAAGCATCGTTGGCAGGTCTACCAGCAAAATTCATGCCAGCAGGCTAACCCCCCTGGACAGCTCAAGCACAGTTCCTCTGCTGTAAAGCGGTCCTGCTGACACAGAGCACACCTTCTTGTACATCCCACGAGCATGGGTTTCAAACTCAACAGACTGAATTTCAAGTTTGACTCTGTCACAAAGCAACAAGCCCTGTAACTCTGGCCAAGCTACGCTTTCTGAAAGACCACGGAAAGGTAAGCAGCATCTAAAAGAATAAGGACTATTACAAGGATCAAAATTTGAGGAATTTTGTTTCTTGCTAAAGAATCAACACAATTTAATCAACAATTAAAATACAGACGTGAGCTGATGAAAGCTTATCTGGCACGCCGCAGGATCAGTAACCAAGCTGACCGACCACCACATTGTGGTATAAATCTGATTTTAGATAATTGAATCACCTGCCACCTAAAACACTTGGCAAAGTTTTATATTTTTAGCCTCACGGAGAACCTGATCAATATAAAGTTATTATATTTCATTGTGTTGTTTTTTTTTTTTTCCGTTTCTCCCAAATATTCATTCCCTGATGTGGTGAAAATGCCTGAAAAGCAATATGGTCAAAGGATCATTCATCAAAAAACCAGTAACCAGTGAAATCAAAGCAATCTCTTTAAAAGGATTTTTACAGTGTTAGATTAATTTTAAAAATCATATTAAACAACAAAGTGATTAAATAATCTTCAAAACTCTGCAGCTCTAGTTAAGTACATGAATGACAGTCTCCATGCTCATGTATGACAGAAAATGTCTCCCATATTTTCCTCAGCTTACCTCAGAGCTGCTCCACTGCAGAAGAGGAGATTTGGGTTTATTCTTACTTTTACTAATCTCTTTTGTAGAACGAGTCTCTCCTTTGGGTTCATCTGGATTAACTTCCTTTATAAACCGATGGGCAACATCCAATACATTGGATAATATTTGAGACTTTGCCTATTACAGAAAAAAAACCCAGGAATAAAAAGCCTTATATTGTCAGCCTAAGCAATTTAGATACATCAAAACATATTTGCGTTATCCTATGACTGGTAAAATTCAACGCACTTTATTTAATATTTAAAACTACAAATTGCTGTTTAAATCAAACAATAGAATAGTGAAAGCTACCATCTACTGAGGGGCTAGTTTGAGTTCAGACTATCCTAAGTATCTTAAAAACATGGCATTTAATCCTCAAGTCAACTCTAAAGCATATTTTTATCTCTGTTTTAGGGATACAGAAACCAAAGCTGTGAGGGTTTAAATAACTTGTCCTTGGTCATATGGTGAGTGGGTGGCAGAGCTGGGAAGTGACCCCAGGTGTGTATAATTCTAATGACTCATAGCCTTTCCACTATATCGACCCCAAATAGATAGATGTGCTATTTTGTGCACATCATGGATAAAGAACTAAATATAGCTAATCTAGTGGGAGCCTGAATAAGCAGTAATGAGTATTTTCTTGGTGATAAAGCATCTTTACAAAGTATTAACTATTCAAAAGTGCACGTCAGGAAGTGCCCCTGCCTGCGGTTCCCTATTGTCATGCCTTTGCTCGTGAGCTTCACTTACCAGGAAGGTCCTCCCTCCTCTGTGACCTTTGCCTGGCGACTGACCTCGCCTTCTGGATTGACCGCAAATTACTCCCACCTTTTCCTGCGCTCCTCCCCAAACTGAGCGAGGTGCCCAACCTCTGTACCCTCTTCTTACCCCAAGGGGATCGCTATCAGCCCACACAATATTGATTTTACATCATCTTTTGATGTCCATCTACCCCACCATACCATGAAATCTCACAGAAGGAAACAATCATGTCTTAAATCTTTGATGGCTACCACAGTGCCTGGCAAATAGCACATGGCAAAATAACGTAAAAATATGGTGCTGGGAAATTGAGTAAAACTAACTTCTCTTTTCTGATTTCAAAAGACCTTTTTACTTGGCATAAAAAAACGCCTTGGAAATCTGTTTTGTTTGTCGAGGGTGGATGCAGTTTTTAAATGTTTCGAAACAGCTGTTTCCATCTTCTTTGTTTAAAAAAACAGAAAAAAGCTTAATCATGGAGGCCTGACGTGAAAGAAGCAAACCAGGCAGGAGTTATCACCACTCCTCGTCTCCCCCCTGTTGTATGCGCACTGAGGAGCTGGTAAAGACTTGAAATGAAGGTCTAAGTTGCAGATAAGAAGGTGCTGGGGCAGGGAGAGAAAGAATGGCAGAAATAAAATTAAGTGGAAAAAAGATTTTTAAAACCTTATTAAGTGCCTTCAAGTGGCTGGAAAAGAGCAGGCAAATCTCAGGAAGGCCCTGTTTTCTGAGGGATCTCCTATCAGCAGTAGCCCTGGTTTGCCCAAGGTCTGTAGGATTCTGGATCCCATCTGAGCTTGAGCCAAACTCCAGAGGTCTGATGCAGGAAAAATGGGTGCATTTCATTGTTCACAAATTAAACCTGAATAAAGCTGATTTATCAAGAAAATGAAAAGGAAATTAGGCCAATGGTAATGCTTCATTTTTTCCCAGAAAAATGCATTTTAACAAAATTTTTTTAGTCTTAGTAATCCAATCTAAGCCTGAGTTTAAATTACCTAGAATGAAGTACTGTAGATTTCAAAAGTGGTTAAAGTTTCTAGTTTATACTTTGTATTTTTTAAATATCAAAAAATATTAATTTTATATAAAATTATCAAAGGGGGTTATCATTTAAATATATATATTCAAATAACACAAAACAAAGAGTATTCCTGTCCTAATATGAATCTTGCTATCAATGTTTCAATTTTTGTAACATTTTTAGGTAGCATATTAAAAGACTGAAATGGTCAATAAAAATGATTTTATTCTCAAGTTAAATTTACTGCTAAAAAATAAGATAAATACCATGAATGACTTATAAATTGAAATCCTATACCTAAATGTCTTAAAATTCTGTTAACTCAATATAAGCAAAATGCCAATACATGTGAATTTTCTTTCCCACCACATCTTACATTTAAATATTACTGTTCTTGGTTCTAAGAGTATATATGTATACTCTATTTTTCTCATTCTTAAAACAATCATGCAAGGACAGAGAACAGATATTATGAGCTCCACTATTTAGCCAAGAACATCCAAGTTCATAAAGCTTTGGTCAAAGCCAAGTGGATACAAAATGTTGGCGCTTGAGTTAGAATCAAGGTCTTCCTTTTCCAGGCTAATCTCCTTCCCTACTGAATTACGTTAACATAGAAAATGGGTCTTACTTTTGATTTTTTGAAACTTAAAATTATTAAATTCTCTCTAAATGTCCCTTCCATTTAAAAGAAAAAGAAAACTACATACATCATGAAATGATTACCACAATAAGTTTAACGAACATCCATCATCTCATATAGATATGAGGAAAGAAATAGAAAAAACATTTCTCCTTATGAGAACTCTTAGGACTGACTCTCTTTTATATATAACATACAACAGTGCTAATTATACATACAATTGCTTGTACAGAGATCAGACTGCTGAGTTTTGTTCTTAATTCATTGTGCTTATTTATTTTCATGTTGGATCAAACACAAGAAAATTAAAGGGAGGAACAGAGATTCTCCTTTCACTTATCTCATTTACATATTACAGGGGAGAGGTGAGTTAGATGGCAACATGAACTTTGAAAAAACAAAACTTTTGAACAACAAAGTTTAAAATATTCTGTAAGAGTAGAATTACAGAACAAACTCAAGCTATCTATCTCCTAAGAGGTGTAAGGTTTAACAGAATCATTAATATTAGAAATTCACCAAAGTACTATATAAATGGTTTTTATAATACTTAGAAGTCCCTAGCTATGTGAAAAATACATCACACATATGTTATTTTTAACAACTTTAATTCTTCCAATGAGTATGGAATATCTTTCCAGTTTTTGTGTGTCTTCTTCAGTTTTTTTCAAAAATATCTTACTAGTTTTTCAATGCATAGGTCTTTTACCTCCTTGGTTAAATTTATCCCTAGTTATTTCACTCTTTTTGTTGCAAGGGTAAAAGAATTGTTTCCTTAATTTCTCTCTTTTGGTTTGTTGTTAGTGTACAGAAACACAACCTTTTTTTTCAATATTGCTTGCAGATTTACAGTATTCATTTATTATTTCTGATAGTCTTTCAGTGAAGTCTTTAGGGTTTTCTATAAATAAAACTATCCACAAATAGTGACATTTTTACTTCTTCCTTTCCACTTTAGGTGTCTTTTATTTCTTTTTCTTATCTAATTGCTCCGACTAGGACTTTCAATACTACCTTAAGTAAGAGTAGTATGAGGGGGCATCCTTATCTTGTGCCTCATCTTAGAGGGATAAGCTTTCAGGTTTCCATCATTGAGCATGATGTTAGCTGTGAGTCTGTCACATATGGCCTTTATTATGTTCAAGTATATTACTTGTATACACATTTTATTGAGAGTTTTTATCACAAATGATGTAGAATATTATCAAATGCTTTTTCTGCATCTATTGAGATGATTATTTGATTTTTATCCTTCTTTTGTTAATGTAATACATCATGTTGATTGATTTGTCAGTGTTGAATCATTTTTGCATCCATGGAATAAATCCCACTTGATCATTGTGTATGACCCTTTTAATGTATCATTGTATTTGGTTTGTTAATACTTTGTCAAGGATTTCTGCATCTATGTTCATCAGAGATATTGGCCTGTAATTTTACTTTTTTGTGTTGCCCTTGTCTGGTTTTTGGTACCAAGGTAGTGTTGGCATTGTAAAATAAGTATTCACTCCTCTTCAATTTTTTGGAAGAGTTTGAGGACAGGTATAAAATCTTCTTTGAATGTTTGGTAGAATTCACTTGTGAAGCTGTTCAGGCCTGGACTTCTGATTTTTGGAAGGTTTTTGATTACTGTTCCAATATTCTTACTAGGGATTGGTCTATTCAAATTTTCAATTTCTTCATGATTCAGTCTTGGAAGGTTGTTTGATTCTAAGAATTTGTCCATTTCTTCTAGGTTGTCCTATTGTTGGAGGATAGCTGTTCATACTATTTTCTCATAATCCTTTGCATTTCTGTACTATCCATTGTAATTTCTAGTCTTTTGTTTCTGATTTTACTCATCTGAGCCTTCTCTTTTTTCTTAGTGAATCTAGATAAACATGTGTCAAGTTTTTATCTTTTCAAAGAGCAAGCTCCAAGTTTCATTGATCTTTCCTACTGCCTAAAGTCTCTATTTTCATCCTGATTTTTATTATTTCCTAATTTTTACTGATTTCGGGCTTCATTTGTTCTTTATTTTTCCTAGTTCCTTTAGGTGTAAGGCTAGAACGTTTATTTGAGAATTGTTTTGTTTCTTCAGGTAGGCTTGTAATGCTGCAAACGTGTCTTACAGGACCACTCTTGCTGCATCCTATAGATTTTGGTAGGTCATACTTTCATTTTTATTTGTCTTCAGGTTTTTAAAACTTTCTCCTTTGATTTCTTCACTGACCTAATAGTTGTTCAGTAGCAAGTTGTTTACTCTCCATCCATTTGTGATTTTTCCAGTTTTCTTCTTGTAGTTGATTTCTAGTTTCATACTACTGTCATCAGAAAAGATGCTTGATATGATTTCAGTCTTCTTAAATGTATTCAGATTTGTTTTGTGCCCAAACATATGATCTATCCCTGAGAAAGCTCCATGTGCATTTGAGAAGAATGTGCACTCTGCTGCATTTGGATGAAATGTTCTGTACAAATCCATCCAATCTGTCTGGTCTAATGTTTCATTTAAGGTTGCTGTTTTCTTGACTTTCTATCTGGTTGACTTTCCATTGATGTAAGCAGGGTGTTAAAGTTTCCTTCTTGTAACTAGTATTGAATTGTTGTCAATTTCTCCCTTTGGGTCTGTTAATAATTGTTTTATATATTTTGGTGCTTCTACGTTAGGTGTACATATATTAGTAAATGTATCTTCTTAATGAATTGTCCCCTTTATCATTT